TTACTATTTTAACTTTGGTACGGGTGCCTTCCCTCCCTCCCCCGAACCCTTCATTAGAGTATCGCGTAACAAATACATACATATCCGGGACGCATTTTCGATGCAAATCGTTCAATTTCAACAGCTATTCGTCGCTTCGTTCCCACACACACCGAAAAGATTGTTATCGGTCGACGAGAGCCGCAACTATGCGGTCATTGCTTTCTTACATTTCTTGTATTGATCTTTTTCTTACATACACAAGCATTCAGTTAAGTTTTGCAGTTCTTCTTTCTAGCTATAACTTACCCATCCTGCTTAACCCGGGGAAGAGTAAGGGAGAAACTGGTCATGCTGGTTTCTCTTGTTGCTGTGGTTAATCGGTTATCACTCGGAGGGAGCTATAAGTCGGTAAAGAAGCTGTCTGGTACACCACATCGTATATATAATAATGTTTACCTGATTAGATTAAAAAGTATGGAATAAGCTATGCTACAAAAACTAAAACTTGTCATCGTACTCCACAGAAACGAAAACTGGTCCTCATAGGAATTTCTCCAAGTTACCTCATCTTCAACTGATGTCCATGCAGCGTACTTTTTGGTGGAAAAATCAGTTTGCATGTTTCTCTACATTTCTTTCTCAGGTGGAATAATCTGGTACCATAATTTCAGGACTAAAATAAAGTAGATGGGTTGTGAACTTGTGCAAATGCACAAATGTTCCATTTTGATTTAACATAACAGATCACATTTTTTTCGCAGTTACCAATAATAAGCTTACTTCATCTATTGAATCATTATTTTACGAAGTCTCTTGACAATTGCTCAAAAACTTTTTAATATTTTCATCTATAGTACCGTACACTTACCGTAATCTTACAATAAGATCTTATACCTCTAGCTAGGAATTCCCAGCTTTACTTTGGTAATTGAGATGACCTTTGATCGGCTTTTGATCTCGAACATTACCTCAATGCTACAGTACTACGGTATGCGAATGTGATTTGCAACCGTATTTCTACCGTAATCTTACATCGACACGTTCAACTTATAGAACGATTATTCTTCCACTTATGAAACTGATGTCTCTGAAACAAAATGTCAGTTTTGACCATGTCCTTGTGTAATTGCGCACAAATCATCTTCAAAAATTTCACATTTTGCGTTTCGTTGCGTAGTTGCTTCCGCATAAGTGCGTCATTTTCGAAGGTCACAAATTTCCTTTTTTGACAATTCGATCATAAGCCTTTGAAAATAAGAAGTTCAGGCGTTCGCTGGTTAGCTGATCCGTCGTCGTCAACCAAGGACGTCTTTGTGTATTGCTGAAGTTGATTTGATGTCAAGTCAAACAAGTCCTTTGCAGTCATAATCTACTCCCGCGGTTTTCGGATTTTTTAAACTTTCTTAGCTCCGAAACGTCTCTTTACATCTCCTTTTCTTGGAAATCCTCAACTTCGTTAATACATGCTTTCGTATGGACTCAAGCAAGCACTAGCCATGGTGCCTTCCTGAACTTCGCGAATTTTTAATCATTTTTTAGTTTAACTTTTTAAAATTAGCAAAAGCTGCAGGTACATCATTGATTCCTCTTTCTTCAACAAAAGTCGAAAAGTATTTAATCGTCTAGTTTTCAGATAATCACCTTGGGTGGGAAGTTAGCTTGAGGGAATAATTTTGCGCAATACTATATTTTATATGAATATCTTTTTATGAACCTTGGAAGAAATTTCAAACACTCTTCGCCTCCCCCCCCCCCCCCCTTTGATAACATCTGTGCCATCAATCTTCGCCCACAGAAATGCTCATGGAAACTGCAGCCCGATATATACACCGTAGTCTTACAATGGACGCTAATTTACGAAGCCAGGTACAGCTCTGTCCTCTTCTCATGGGATGTTTGGAAACATCTATCTCACTCGAAGTAATATGTTAGTTTATAGAATCAGGTATAGAATTTTTCCTTACAGAACTTGCAAAGACCGTTTTTTTGAACCGTATCCCTATCGTACTCTTTTGAACCGTATCCCTATCGTACTCTTACAACCGCTGAATTATGAGAGATACAACTTTTTCTCGACTGGTGTTCATAGACCTTTCAAGCTCCCACTAAGATTGAAGATTTTGAGTTTTTAATGCTGTGTAGTAGCTGATCCCCTCACTAGGTAATCGCCCAATTTCCGCTGCAAAAGATAATTTTCGAAGCGGGAAAATTGCTGAAGAAAGAAGCAGTTCAGGCGGCCCCGCTCATCAAGTGGGATGATGAGCCCACGAGCAGGCGAATTTTGAGCTGCGCATTGTTTCGGACTAAGGCCTGTCAAGGATCAGTCTACATTTTCCAGATAAAACACGCATTTTGACATCTAAAGTATACTTGCAGTAGCTATGTGGAACGCCAGAATAGATGAAGATTATGTCTAGATTCAGCGCAAAGGAAAACCGCTGAAGCGAGTTTGTCTCAGGAAAATGAGCATTTTACTAAATTCAGACTTTGACATACTGTGTGTGTCAAGCGGTCCCATGTGGTAGGCATTACCTGACACACCATGGTTGTCAAGCGGTCGTCAGTGTTAGAAAAAATTGTCGAAAAGTTGATGAACATAGTGAAGGACGGATGCCAAGTCCAGATATATGGAAACGCAACTTTGGGATTCTATATCAGAGCAGCCACGTTAATGGACGGAGCCACCTGGGCGCTTTTGCTTTCTGGAGCGTTTTTCTCGCTTCGAAATTCATCTTTTGCAACGGGATTTCGGCGATTGCCTGGTTAGGGGCCCCGCTATTATACAACGTCAACATGTCACAACTTTCAATTTGGGTGGACAGTGCCTTCTATCGTTTTCTTTTTGAACAGTGCGTGCGCAGCAATTCGTATACTTTTGCTACGCTACCGGAATCTTGGAAGTCAGAAAAGGTGGTGACGCGCATTTGTCATTTCTCTTCTTGGAAGTTTTCCAGTAGCGTACTATAGAGCTTTTTTACAGTAACCAAACAGTTTTACAACTCTGGGTAATTACTTCTCATAAAAAGCTTTTTCAAAGGAAATAATTGGCATTGTAGATTCATTGACTAGTGCTGACCTTTCACACACTGGGCAATAAATCCTTGACCCATTCGATTTTTCTTGCTACACATTAACATAACGTTCGAGTTCGTTGTGTCTCAGAGTGTGTGACCGTGTCAAGCGATGGTTACAGCAGTAATTGGGCCACACTTATGACTTCTTCAGTATCCGTCGTCGAGTCATATCTCTTGCCCATGCGCGTGGGGAAACATTCGCGCCATTCGAATTCGTTTTCGTCTGATAGTTTCCGTTCCTATAAGTAGAGTACTGTTCTATTTCGCATCTTCCAACGTTAACATGGGCGTAAGGGCCTTATAGAATACGAAGCTATAAGGGCCTTATAGAATACGAAGCTTAGGGACCAGTTTTCGTATTCTTACAACTAGAACAGAGCTTTGTCGCTCCATAAAGTAGCAACAACGTTGTTGAAGAACCTAACTGAATTTTAGCAAATTTTTGCTACTTTCACTACTTTTTTCTTTCGAGCAATCAGAACAGCTCAGTTTTAGAAATAAAGTTAGAATGCATTGAAGAGTGAGTGGAAATTCAACGCCATAGGCCAAACCTTGCCGGGGACCAGTTCTCGCCACTGAGAATGATTGTTTTGCATTAAGCACATTTGTTTTAGGAACTCATGCGGACATATCTTTAGAACTATGTAAAGAGAAAAGCTGTTTCTCAGGTAATTCGGTCATCCAACATCCAACTTATCATTGACTCTGCCTTCGTCAGTTTCGGGGACCAGTTTTCGCGTCACAATTGGGTATGAAATTATTGCCGTTGATGAGTTCTGCAACTGTTTTGTTGAGTATCACTATAAACTAATTTAGTCTAGTTTTATTCCACAAGCAGAGTTTTGTCGATTGTAGTTCTTGCCTTCACTTTTCGTCAAGGTCTTTTTTTGCATTTTTTAGGACATCTGTGCCGTTGACACGAAAATATCTAGCACGCGCGTCAAAATTGATTGTTGAAATGAGGTTTTGCAGCATACAAAATCAATCTTCAAATATTGTTCCTAGCGTATTTTTTATAAGAAATTGTTTTAACGAAGCTGCTGAGCTTGCGGCTGCTCTTTATCGGAGACCAGTTCTCGCCTTAAAAAACTTTTATCGCTCATTTCTGAGTCAGAATTATATCAATAAATCAATATCTATTTCACTCGTTTGAAAGTAGGTAAGATTCTCCTATCCTGTGAATCAAGCAATGTCTTGCCACTGTATTTGATTGGGGACCAGTTCTCGCCTCAACTTTTCGCTTCAAATATCTTCTGTGCTCACAATCATTATGAGCTTTTTGTGGATCAAAATAAATGCAAGTACAATTCTTGTCTAACCAATCAAGTAGTAAGCCCAATCTGCATTCGCTCGGGACCTGTTCTCGCCTCAATGCATCATCATGGTTTCAACTTCATGCGTCGTTTCCTTATAGTCGTCATGCTTATGTGGATAAATTATGTAAAAGAAAATCCTCCTCATTCATTGATCAAGAGCTTGCATCAGAGTCTGGTCGAGACCAGTTCTCGCTTTGACACTTTTAATGGCCTATCTTGCGCCGTCTGTTTCACAGGCATTATAAGCATTTATTATGTAAATGAGATGAACGCGAGAACGATTTTCATTCAAGAAATTAAGCCAATGAGTTTCTACTTGCATTTGGTTGGGGCCAGTTCTCGCCTTATCCATTAGCGCCTTCACATTCTCGCGTTCACGGTTTCTAGACGGATTGAACTCATTTTCCTCGACCATTGTATCCTTCAAAGCTTTTGTTTCGCCTCGCGGCTGTTTTTGATCCATCTGACCTCTGTCGTCGAACGTCAACGGTTTTTGCCTCGACTGTTTCGCCATTCTTTCCACTACACAAGCGGGAAGCCCTGTGTTGTAGCCGTTGATGGAAAAACCATCATCGTCGTATCGTTCGTTCGTTTTCTTTCTCTCTGAATCAAAACGTTCCGATCATTCAGAAACGGCCTTGTTATGCGGGAGACGAAAGTGTTTTGGCTACTTGCCACTCATCCCGTTCTAGTGATGGCCGACACATGTCTAAGGTGAGTTTCACCTCGTAGTTTTTGTGACAACTGGAAAAGAAGAGGTAATTTGAATGTGGGGTATTCCCACTCTGGAACGTTACTCAGTCTTGAAGGAAAGATCTTGGAAAATCTGTGCTGTTGTGATTTTGCCACAAACACTTTTGAGCGCTTTCCGGAACTTACGAAAATTCTGCTGTCCTCTTTGCGCACCTGTTTTTTTGGTTTATGTCTTTGCATAAGGTCTTCTTGCTTGAAAATTTTTGATAATGATGGGGTATTCATGTCATACTTCTCAAATAAAATTGCCAGCATTCTCGCTAATTCAAGAAAAAAATCGCTTCGAAAGTTTGGATCTCACTATGGTAGGTCATTTAAAGGCTCACTAGTTCATAAAATAAATAACTAAAGCAGGTTTTTTTCTTTTTGGATCTCAATATGTAGCGTAAAAACGAAAGTAATGCTTTTCACTTTCCAATCCCTGAAACTTTTGGAAAATAATATCATTGACACACTGAAAGCAGAGAAAAGCTTTGGTTTGAGTTGTTTTTGTTTGTTTTGGGCACAGTGCCCTTTCGAATTTAAAACGCACTTATTTGGGAACTTTAGAAATAACTTCAAGAATGCGAAATCTTATTCATCACTAAATATACCTATATATACCAAATCACTAGTATTTCAAAAACTTACATGTAAATAGACCTAAAACAATCTTGAGTAGAATTTTTACTGGAATCTGGTGGCTCTCCTTAGGGTTGAAACCGGAGTTGTAATTCTTGAAAAGAAAAAAATTGCGGAAATGCGCGTTTCACTTTTTTGACTATTGGAGATAAAAACTCAGTAACCCAAGTCACAAGTGATAAATCACATATCATTGCTAATTTGTCTTCTATCAGAATAACTTGACCTTGTCAAGGTTATGCAGCTTTTTCTTCCCCGGAAGCCTTTGAAGTGTCGTTTAAATTTATCAGATCGAACTCACGAATTTCAGCATGCCTTCGATTTTTTTGGAGCGAAGAGCTATCCGGTTACTTACTAAACATTGTAATAAATAAAACAGATAGATGTAGGGATCAGGCAAAATTTCTGTGTGATGGAGCTGCCAGAATAATTAACGCGTCTTGTGAAATATTCGAAATACGAGACATGTATCCATATAGGAGGTATGAGGGTGCACTGAAGCTCTTTAAGTTACTGTTTGTGTTGAAAATGTTGAGTTGAAAATTGTAAAAGTTCAGATTGGAACAAAAAAACCCATGTCATATTCAGTGTCTAAAACCTGGACGTTTTGATCGAGAGTTTACCCTAGTTTGAATTTTTTTGGGAACCTTGAGTAGTAATTGTCACCATACACAGTATTTGTGCTTGACATATTTACTACTTTACAACAAATTGATAACAAGCTCTTTGTTTTTTATCTACTTGCTTTTTTACATTATTTTCTTACTCATGCAAGTCTTTACAGTCAACCACAACTTGTCGGAGTGATATTCGGCAGCGTTGGTGCTACCTTAGCGATATGTCTTGGACTTGCTGGCGTGTTCTGGTTTGTTCTGCGGAAAACTGGTAAGTATAGCTTGTTTTTGATTGCTTATAAGTGGATAGTGATCATCAGCCTGATAGGCGTTAGCAGCGGAATAGGCGCTTCTTCGTCTGGTTTCCTGACTCTGAGAAATCTGTTTTAAGCGGGAGATCGAGGCTCTATGTCATGGGCTAAACGGTAGTATGAGGAGGTTGTGATGGGGATTTTGGGTAGAAATATTGAGTTGAAAGAGAAGCACTACAGCGGGCAGTGGAGGTTCTGAAATTTCTTTTCTGAAAAGGAGACGCAGCAGATACTTTTTCTGGACGAAGAAGCGTACATAGCTTCAATCACTCCCACCAAATCTTACTAGGGTTAATCTCTTGTTAGGGTACTAAGGTTAGGGTGCTCCCAAAATTTTAGCGAGCTCCTCTAAAACCGAGGTAATATGAACTTTCCTAGAAGTCTTAGAAATATTTCAATTGTTCGCAAGTAAGAACTACTTACTTATCAAGACTCATGTAGACTTCATGCTCTCTTCCCCCCTCCGATCGATATATCGATTATTTTGGGCCTCGTTCGTATTTATGTGCAGTTTGTCGAGCACTGCGAATTTTATAATATGTTTTAAAGAGAGTTTGTAGGCCTCTCTGCTTAGTCCACAGGAAGAGATTAAAACTTGATATAGGTCAAAGAAGATGGGTTTTGCCTCATCTTTTAGAGCATATACTTTCATGCTCAAGTTCATATAATTATGACTACTTATTTTGACAATTAAAGATTAGTGAATAAGGAAAAACATTAATAAATATCAACTATCTTTATTGGCGAACATGATTGGTGAATTTTTTTCGAAAAGATGTAGAAATAAGAAATCCAACTGTTGTTAGCAACGACAGCATTTTTTTGCCATTACATCTATTGTCAAATCAAATTAAATTACACGCATTTGTCTACCGTAACCCAACGAAGTAAAAAATAAAGTCGTAGAAAAAACTGCTGAAGAAGAAGATAGTCGTAATCCAACAAAAAAACTGTAGCTGTGTAATATTTTTTGAGATAGTATTCATTTTTTCTGATGCACTGTAAGCTGCTTTTTTTCAACAATTTTCTTTATGTTAGTAGTTACCGTTATCCGCTGAACTAATTTTGGCATTCTTGTTCCATTTGTTTCATCAAAATTGATTTTCTGATTTTCCCTTCTCTTGACAATTAGCAAAATTTTCGCAACCATCTTTGACACGATTCCTGTCCGCTATACTTCACCTGTAGGTTGGCCTCATAAATCACGTTAGGACCAATTTGACAGTGATGCTTAGTCGATCAGTAAAAAGCGTATGCGGGTTCCCAGCCAGATTAGTTGTGCTCAGCAAAAGTGCTTTGAAAATTGACTAAGGCAGAGCGAATACTAATAATTACCACAGTTATGGCCACAAGGTCCAGGGTGGAGAATAATAAGTAAAGAAATGGATCAACAAAAACTATCTTAGCCTTTTTTTCGATATGTGGCAATTTATCTGTTTCGATCACATATCCTGAAGTTTTCACTGCTAAGTTTGATTCAAGAGGAAGGGGGGGGGGGAGGAGGGGGATGGGGAGGAGAGGATCAAATGTAGAAGTGATTTCTATGTCCAAAATAACAAAATGGCTTATTTTTCCACGAGGAAAGACAATCCTTACAGACAGCGTTCTGGCCGAGTACAAATATTGATGGGATCTTATAACTTCAGTGGCAAACCTTTCCTTTCTATAATAGTAAAATTTTATAACACGTAGCGAAACAGAACCCCTTTAAATCGCTCCAAGAGTGTGCCGGACTCCGTCTTCGGTTCCGGATCCCACCCAAAATTTTCAATGTGCTAGAATACCCCTACGCAGGGTGATTATATGTCGCCGAGGGGGGTAGTTTCACGCCTACATCTACAACAGACCACGCATGCATACAGCTACAGACATTACAGATTTGTACCAGTTGTCCGCGCGGGGCGGAGCCTATTGGTGACTTGTGGTCCCCTACCGCCATTCAAAGAGTCATGTTAGGGTCCCACAACGATTTTGCTTCTCTAAACGTGCCGGACTTTCGCTCGTCCAAGGAAAAGAATTTCTTTGCGCAAATGGCAAGCGGAGTGGAGGGGAGGGGGGAGGGGGGGGGGGAGGATAAGGTGAAGCTGTTCTAAATATTTGATAAAACAATAAGTATCTTTTTCTGGGTAGAATAATCTTGTGAAATCATGGGAGGCACTGCTGCCACAATTCAGATTATCATCCCAATTTCAGAGGATCGAAAAACTGTTGAAACAGCAGCATATACGAATGGCGATATTGAAGGCAAGCACTGTGGAACTCAAGCAAAAGTTTCGCAGAAGGATCAGGTAAGCCTAGGAATATCTCCATTTTCTGAGTTCAAGAAATTGTTCACCGCAACTTTCTAGGTAACAATGATCGATTCATTCAAATTACCTCGAAAGTTACTAGATACGGGCACTCAAAAATCATTTTCTGTGGAGAATGTCAACGAGGTACGCGCGGTGAGACACTTCCTACTATAAATTACTGTCGAAGAACAACCTTTGCTTCTAGGCAAATGGTAAAGTGGGCGTTTTGCTGCAAAGCGAAAACCCTTCTGGATTTGGTATGACAATCCAGGGCAATATGAATGAGGGCATTTATGTGAAAGAGATTGTGCCAATGGGTGCCGCCTACCAGACTGGAAATATCCTACCTGGTAGGTTTTGGGCAGGTCATTTTAGGAATGCGGTAAAGTCAAATTTTTGCAGGTGACCGTATAAAAACACTAAGCATCTGCTTTGACAACATGGTCTATGAAGATGCACTAACTCTACTCAGCTACGCATCACCGTATAGGGTCAAATTCGAACTCGAACGAAAGATTGAAACTCCACCACCGATGGAAGGCGATTATGGTCAGCATTTCGATGATAGAATTTTTCGGCGTTATATTTTTCTACTCAGCGTAAAATTTATGGGTTACAGGCAATGCTCGGCTTCATCCGCTGTTCCGAAGTAATACGCTAACACACATTCAGTTCAATCCGATCAGGTAAGCATTTTACACTCCGATTGATAGCAAGTTTGACGCAAGAAAATTTCTTTTATGATCTGCGTGGACCGTCTGAACATTGAAGAAGTCAAACATCTTCGTAGAAATCAAATTAATTTTGTTCCGTGTATTTTTTGTCCGACTTGATTGACTCCATACCTACCCCCTAGTCCGAATTTTCGTGGCTGTAAGTTTAGAAAAAAAATGTGGGAGACTCAAACAGGTTTTTGGAAAGCATTGTCAAAGTTTAAAACTTTTAAATAAGCTATCTGAAATTTTTTGCAGCTTTCTAATCCAAAAAAGACTTTTGCCACTGCTTTGAGTACTGCTTTTTGGCACTGCGGGGGGGGGGGGGGTATGGGCAGTTTTTGAAAATTGTCTACATGTGTTGTAATAATTGAGGTTATTAAAAATACAAATTAGATTTCATTGGCAACACTTCGCAAGCTCCTTTCTAGTCTCGAAATTTTAAGTTCTTCAAAAAATCGGGAAACATTCCAAAAAGTTTTGAGAAACGATGGCGTCAAATTAGTCTCGAACAGTCTTTATTTGAAAAAATGCTCTTGCTTTTACCGTTTCCGTAGATTTAGTACTTCAATCTGCTACTATCCTTTGAAAGTTTAGCTCTCCATCACCACGCACTTCCTCTGATGACGAAACTGAAAAGATGCACGAAACACCTCCACCTAAGGAAGAAGAAAAAGTCGAGCCAATCGTGGAAGAGCCAGAGTCTCCAAAGCCTGATGACATAGAAATGGTGGAGCAGAAAACAGCGGAAAGTGCTTCTCCTGAACCGCTGGTCACTAAAGTCATTAGCGAAGTTGCTGACAGTACTACTATAGGTATGGGCATACTTTACCGATACTGTAGCCGAGAATAGGAGTTTTTGGCTTTGAGATACCGACTTGTCAAAAATGGAAAGCAGTGATTACGCTTCTGACAACACTTCTGAATATAGAGAAAGCGAATCGGATTGTGGTAACGGTAGTCAACTAATGCTGTCACCACAAAATTCTCAACATACTATTAGCGATCGGGTCGAGGTGAGGAACAGCCAACCAAATTATGACATCACGGTTACCGTATTTAATTTCTTATAGATCACTGACGTCATCGCTGACAAACCAATGGCGTCACCGACACCACCACCTCCAAAGGTGGAATACTGTAAAGAGCTACCTCCAAAACCAAAACCAATTACTTCAAGGGTATGAAAAAAATCCGATTTTTTGCGACACTCAAGCCACACAAAATCGGATTAAGCTTTTAGTTTTCAGTCACCATCGCCAAAATCAAAGCTGTTGACAAAATCGCCTTCTCCGGTGCCTCCAATCAAAGAAGAAAACAATGAAGCACCAGCAGTTCCAAACATGCCACCACCAGCAAAGAAGAACACTAAAATAGTTAGTTTGTCCAAAATTTGTTGGGAAATATTGAAAGGATCAAAAGTAAAAAAGAGAATTTTTGTGGTTAAGTTTTTCCCACATTTAAAAACAGCAGGAATAAGACTAAGCAAAATTTGGAAATTTCTTCCGCTCGGATTGCTTTTGGTATGACCTTTTTTGCAAATTTAATGCTTTTTTGCAAGAGTTTCGACATTAAACTTGATTGATATTTTCTAAATTTACAAGAGCGCGTGTTCACATTCTGTATTTTAGCCATCAGCGCCAGCCACACGAACCCCTGAAGGTGGCCCTCCTGAATTTACGGAGGTCAGAACTTCTCGCATCCCGAAACGAGGAGACAGCATCAAAACACCAATCATCGAGCGAAAGCTTCCGGCATTGCCAAAATCGGTTACTCACCGGAGTCAAAGCGCTGAAGATAAAGTAAGTTATCCTCAATCTTGAAATGAATACGGCATAAACAATTGATAAGTTAGTAATGTATTAGGTTGTAACAGAATTAATGCAGGTTTTGAATCCCAACCGCAATAAGTCATACACTTCTCATTTCTAAGTAATTTGCGAAATTCTATAAGGTGGCAATCTTGTTTTAGCAACAACTCTGATCCACCACGAGTTTCGAGCCAAAAACTAAAAAGATTCAACTGTCCAAAAAATTGAAAAAAATCGTAACTCAGATCATAAGAAACCTACAAAAATTCTAACTTGCTCACGTAAACACTATTCACATAAGACATCTATACACGCCTTTGCCGTATTTTCTTCTCCGTTAGAAATCAAGAAAACGGAAATTTTCGTGCGTTTGCCAAAGTGATGCTTTGCCGTTCCCTCATAGGTAGTTGTATACTACAAAGCTGTAGAAGTACAAACGTAAATTTTCAGCTTTCTACAAGCTTTAGTTCTCGAGAAATTTGAATTTTAGCTTTGATTACCTGATTAGGGAAAGCCGTATTCGGTATTTTTCGAGAACTAAAGCTTGTAGAGAGCTGGAAACTCAAGTTTATACTTCTACAGGTTTGTAGTATACAACTACTTATGTGGGAACGGCACAGCATCGCTTTGGCAAATGCACGAAAATTTCCGTTTTCTTGGTTTCTAACAGAGAAAAAATACGGCAAAGGCGTGTATAGATGTCTTATGTGAATAGTGTTTACGTGAGCAAGTTAAAGTTTTTGTAGGTTTTTTATGAAGTGAGTTACGATTTTTCTCAATTTTTCGGATAGTTGAATCTTTTTAGTTTTTGGCTCGAAACTCGTGGTGGATCAGAGTTGTTGCTAAAGCAAGATTGCCACCTTATAGAGATTGCTCTGCTCTATCGAATGGTTTTTTGCAACCTACTTAGAAATGAGAAGTGTATGACTTATTGCGGTTGAAATTCAAAACCTGCATTAATTCTGTTACAACCTAATAGATCAAGCTAATATTGCATTTCACCAGAAATGTACCATGGGATTTCAACAACAGCTAAGAAAGTAATTTTGATCAAAACTGGCTCTTTCTGGCAAATGTTCATGAATATCTGGAATGAAATTCTCATTAAATAAATTGTTGTCTGCTAAATCCCCCTCATCTATAAGAATTCTTAAGATTTTTTAGGGAAAAGAGAAAAAAGGATAAAGAGAGACTAATGGGTATCTGTACCTTTATGAAGATACTGTTGGGAAGGTTTTGATTAAACTAATACCCAGTAGTCAGTTTATATGATTTATATGTGAGGAAAAAACTGAATGAACTCTAAACAATGGCGAATTTTCCGAGCGGACCAATCACCGTCTTCGACTACGGCAGAGTACATTCTGAACATGAGTTCAAAATCAAATTTCCTAGCCACGAATAGATCATTTGAGCTGCCACTTGGACAGTGGCTTACTGTTAGTTAAGGCCACCCAATCGACTCGCACAAAAGAAGCTCCAATACTCAGATATGTTGAATAGAGCCCTTAAAAGCAGGGTCAGGCAAATCTGGGCGCATGGTTTTTTCACCTGGAAATTGATGAGAGGGTCCCAACTAAGACCAAGCGGCAGCGCAAATGTTTCATTAACTGCGGAGAAATTTGTTTTCGAAAACGCCTAGCCTACCCGAAAACGACTTCGCTCTCTTTAACACTGCTTCTTCCTAGGAACCATCCAAAATGTTACGGTCACGGCGCAGGCGCGGAGTGTTCGGGGATGGATTTCTCAGCAGTGAATGAATCATGCACTGCTGTTAGGGCAATGTCTTAGCTAGAACCCCCTTATCATTTTCCAGGCAAAAACCCCTTGAGTTCAGATTTGCCTCGACACTGCCTATAAGAGAGTTTCAGTGTTGAGTGACGGCCGCACTTTTTAGTAAATTTGGTTGTTTGCATAATACCGGTACCAACTTAATGTATGATTAAAAAAAGCATGGACTTGATGGCTTTTTTAGGAACGAGCGGATGTGTGGAGTAGACTCTACCTGGACAAAAAAGCCGGTTTGAAGAAGACGCGAGAAATTAGACCGCCGACAAGGTTTAACAGCGAGCATGAGATCACATCCACAGTTACAAGCCCACCAATATCGCCTCCGAATCGGCCTACAACTACTGATCTAAAGTAAGCAATACCTACAGATTTCGTCAAATAGTTTTCTTATTTTGGACTTTGATTAAATCTCACGTTTGCAGATTCAGTACGCTCGATCGTGAACGAAGAGAACGTCTTGCAGCCAATCAAAATGTACTTGATCGACAAACGGAAGAATTACGAAAGCTTGGTGTTCTGTAAAATAACTCTATTCCTCATTTCTGTGAAATTATGTACAATATCGAATGATTGATCTAAACATGTCACTCGAAATACGGAGCCTTATTTATTGTGATATTTTTAGCGTTTATTTGAAAGAACTGCCTCGCGATGACTTCCAGTACTTAGCCTGCCTTTGATTGTGTAGGTGCTCTCTTTCCCGCATATTTCCTATTTCTGAATGTATGTTTTTGATTGTTACTTTGTATTCCATGGAACATGCACTTACATCCGTTTGTCATTGTTTAGTGATGATTGCCTTTATTGCCAAAATATATGTTCTTTGATTACTGGCTTAGCGGCTGGAAGGCGGAGCTTTGTGACTTAATTAAGGCTGAGTAATGATCAGAGAGCATGAGCGGGGAGAGACGCAGACTGTGTCGCGGGCGCGAGCTAGGTCAAAAAGCCCCGCCTTCCAGCCGCCAAGCCAGTTGAATCAAAGGTCATATAGATTACCATTTTATATATGTGTCCACTACTTATGCATTGATGTACGAATAGATTTCTGAGCAACTAATTGTTCGTATGTGGCAGAAGCGGCTAACTTTACGTACAGCAAGAAACTGAAAGGATTGGCACTGTCCTTCTGTGCGGACTTTTTCTCATGAATTTTCTATTACAAGAACCTGAACATTCTGTGGGAAAAAGTTGTTCATTTAGGGAAAAGTTACAGTTACCCTAAGTGGGGTACGGGAGGTTTTGTCGTTGATTGACAACATGGACCAAACTCGCTGCAGCTAGTCTAATATATAGTATTTAACGGGGCCAGCGCCGCGTAGTGCAGTCACACACCTGCGCTACCGTGGGCTGCAGCGTGCAGGGACCATGTCGCGCAAAGAAGCGTGGTCCTTGTTTTAGCTACTCTTCCTGCTTCTATCTTAGAGACCGACCATACTATTCTGTGATTCCTGCAGTGTCTGCAATTCCTGCATTTCCTGCGGGTCTCAACGATGTATATTGCGAAAAAACAATGTATACTGAAATTCGCAAAGCGCTCCGTAGTCGGTACATCGGAGGTCGAGGAATCACAAGAATCGCAGAAATTACAGGGAACACAGGAATTACCTCCTTGTTGTGGAACGCGTTGAGCCGTTGACGATTTATTAGAAAAACACAAACATTCCCCTTATACACATAGGCGTATATGCCGCGGGTTCACTAGGATCAATACAATAACAACAAGTAAACATAATCAAGGTGCGGCGGGTACGCCGCAGCCGTCTAGGTCACCTCAGCCTTAGCTATCAATAATGAGCGAGTTCTAGTTCACACTGAACAGCTCTACAACTCCTCCCTCCTAAGATGAACAACGGTACATCTTAAAATGAGGATTTACTTACAGTCGTTCTGGTGGTCGACGATGTCGGCTTGATCTAGTTGGAATCAGTGACGTGGTTGAAGCTGCTTGGTGTTCAGCGATGTTTATGACATTGTCCATTTGGCCTTCTTCAAGACGTGTGGTAGAGGCTGGATCACGACGGCGCTCCATACTTGATCCACTGCGCATCTGGTTCGCATGTCGTCTCCATAGCTGGTCGTCTTCCGTAAGCACATCGTACACGGTTTCTCCGTAGCGTTTCTTCACACGAGCTGGAATCCATTTTTCGCATCCCGAGCGAAAATCACGTACCCAAACGGCTTCTTGTGGCTGGTACGCTCTCTTTCGTGCTCCATAGTGGCGGTTGATTTGCTTCTCCATGTTTTCGTTGCCCATTCCTTCTTCTTTGGAGTCTTCATTCAGCAGCGTCAGCGGTGTCCTTATCTGACGTCCCAGGAGCAGCTCGGCAGGCGAACGTTGTCCTGGAGCAGTTGTACAAGGCGTTCGTCGATACGACTGCATAAACTCCGCAATCTTCTCTGCCGTTCCTCCCTCCTTAATTTTCTGGAAGGTCCTTTTGAAGATATCCACAAACCTCTCCGCTTGTCCATTTGATTGCGGAACGGTGGTGAACGCAGGTGCTTAATTCCTCGCTCTTCACAGAAATCTTGGAACTCCTTTGCTGTGAACTGCGTCCCATTGTCCGACACGATCACTTGCGGATTTCCAAATCGAGCGAATAGAGATCTGAGTTCTCTCAGGGTAGCTGTAGTTGACGATGAAGGCATCTCAAATACTTCTGGCCATTTCGAGTAAGCGTCAACTACGACGAGATACATCTTGCCAATCAGCGGCCCTGCATAGTCAATGTGAAGTCGATTCCATGGTTTGTCTTCCACTTTCCATGAATGCAGCAACGTCTTCACTGGCATTTTGGAGGCTTCTTGACAATCCCTACAGCGGCGCACTGAGTCTTCAATTTCTCTGTTGATGCCCATCCAATATGCGAATCCTCTCGCGAGCATCTTCATCCTTGTCATTCCAGGGTGTCCCTCGTGTAACTGCTTCAGAACCGCCTGTCTCAGCGAATCTGGAATGACTATTCTGTGTGCGAGGTACAAGCATCCGTTTTGCACTGATAAATTCTCCCTCAGCGCTCTCCAATTTCGGACTTTTTCTTTCGGCTTGGACGGCCATGCTCCTGATTGCAGCATTCGTATGACCTGCGCAATGGTTTCGTCCTTACGAGATTCTTCCTCAATCTTCCTCCGGGTTACTAGTAACGCTCGTACAGCAGCAGCTTGAACAGCTCGCACCTCTTCTTCTATCTTCGCTACGACAACGTCTTCGGTTTGGACTGGCCTCGAAGGGATCAGTCGAGACAGTGCATCGGCTTGTCCGAATTCGGTTGTCTTGCGGTACTCCAGGTCGAAATCGTATGCGAGTAGAATGAGTTTCCATCGTTGCAACCTGTTTGCTGTGTACACAGGCACCATCTTCTTTGGTCCAAAGATGTGTAGCAGCGGCTTGTGATCCGTGAGCAATCTGAATCGGCGTCCGTATATGTACCGGTGGAACTTACGGACTGCGAAAACCAATGCCAGTCCTTCCTTTTCGATTTGTCCGTAGTTCTTTTCTGCGGCTGTGAGGCTTCGGCTTGCCTGGCAGATAGCCTTTTCTGTCCCATCTGGCATCTTGTGCAGAATAACAGCCCCGATTCCGTAGTCCGACGCGTCCGCAGCTACCACTATCTGTAAGACAGGATCGAAATGTGTGAGGAGTAAATCGGAGGCTAAGACTTCTTTGGCACGCTTGAATGCGTTTTGGCATTCCTCCGTCCATTCGAACTTTGCGTCCTTCTTGAGCAATGCGTCCAAGGGTGCTCTAAGCTGGCGCATCTCGGCTACGAACAATCCATAGTAGTTGATCATCCCGAGGAATGATCGAACATCTGCTATGTTCTTCGGCGCTGGCATTTGCTGAATAACTTCAATCTTCTTTGGATCCGGCCGGCGTCCGTTTTTGTCAATGATGCAACCTAAGTAACAAATCTCTGGCATGAGAAAGTTGCATTTTCCCAACCTGACGTGAAATCCGTAATCCTTGATTCTCTTAAACAATGCTTCTAGATTCTGGCGGTGTTCTTCATAACTCTTCCCCGTGATGATGATGTCATCAAGATAAGCGGCTACTCCATCAAGTCCGCTTATCATGGAATCCATGATCTGTTGAAATATGCCTGGTGCCGATTTCACTCCGAATGTCAATCGATTGTAGCGATATAATCCTTTGTGTGTATTGATAGTGAGCATTTCCCTTGATGCTTCCTCGACTTCCACTTGTAAATAGGCTTCGGCTAGGTCGAGTTGAGTGAAAAGCTGGCCTCCATTGAGCTTTGTAAACACATCCTCCGCAGTGGGCAACGGATGCTGATGCAGCTGCAATGCATCGTTAGGTCCTGTCGAGAAGTCGGCGCATAGACGGATCTTGCCATTTTTCTTCTTGAAGACGACTATCGGCGCGGCCCACTCTGAGTGTTCTACAGCAGAAATAACTCTTTCGGCAACCAGCCGATCAATTTCTGCCTCCAGTTTTGGTGCCGTGGCGTATGGAACTGGCCTCTTCTTCTTGAAGACTGGCACAGCATCGCTCTTTAAGACTAGCTTGGCCTTGCTCTTCGTGCACTTTCCCAAGTCGCTATTGAAGACTTCTGCATATTTCCTCTTTAAATCGGCGACGACTTCTGCTCGAAGTTTCTCCTCGCTAGTCACCTTTCTGCAGTTGTAGTGGTCCTTCAGCTTCTTGTACGCCGGCAATTGGATACACCATTCCAATCCTAATAGACGAGCCTTCGGTGACGTAGCAAACTCCGTTTCCATAAACGGTTTTCCCTGTAACTCGATCTTTGACCTCAAAATCGGTCGAAAATATACCGTCGATCTGCATCGGCATCCCGTCGGCAGTTTTCACGGGCAACACACAGGGTTCCAGAGCAGGGGATCCCATCCTCTTCCAGGCTCTTCGCGAAATCAGGGTCATATCCGCACCTGTGTCTAGCTGTAGCTTGAGGCAATATCCTCTGATTACGACGTCGATATAAGTCCGCGCTTTATCGGCGTCGAAAACGACCACATTTTTGCACTGTCGCCTGCGGCTCACATGGGCTCCCGTCTTCCGCCGCTTCTTCCGACTATTGTCAGATTGTGGACAATCTCTTCTGAAATGTGGTCCTCCGCATATGAAGCAATTTACCTTTTTCTTCCATACAGCATAGACGTCGCGAGTGCCTTCCATGTCCGTGTTATCCACTTTCAAAGCAGTGAAATTTTCGCAATCCGTGACTAGGTCTTCGATTGTTAACGGTGCTTCGTCCTTGTGAGCGTCCAGTCGACGAATCATCCGAAGGCGAACTTCCCTGAGTGAGGGATCTTGAAGACCTGCTACAAACTGCAGCGTCTTCATCGCCGTGTAATCCAGCTCCTTGAGTCGGGCGTCTTCGTCCATCCGCTTGATAGTGTTAGCGTACTCGCGAAATGGTACGCACGTTGGTGTAAGCGGCGGACAGGCTATCCTCAGGCACTCGTACCTTCTCCTGATGAGGGTCTTCTTGGAGGCGAATAGCTTCTGAAGATTTGCGATGGTGGTGTCGAAGTCCAAGTCATGTGGTTTCGCAGGTAAGACCTCATCAGCATACTTTCGGTAAGCTTCTTCGTCCAGCTTCATGAGGATCAAGTCGCGCTTCTTGTGATCCGGCAGCTGGGCGTCGCTAATGATAGGTCCATACCTGCCGTACCAGTATGCAAACGTATTACCTGTCTCCTCGTCCGAGACAAATCGTTGCACTCCTTTGCTCAGCTGATCGTATTGATCTTTGCTGGCATCCTGAACGGCTCCCTGCTTACTGGCTGAGGTGGTGATTAGCTCCTTCATCTGCTCCTGCTGAGCTTGC